TTCACTTACCTTCAAATTGTTTGCATGTTGGATTAGGGCATCCCTTTTCTAATGTGTAAATATTGTTGTTGGATCCTAGCCCTAATTTTTCTTATGGGGTGATAATTAGGGATTTATATTCTAATCTATCTTTGTCTTTTCTAATTGTAGATGAACGCGAACAACGCTGCTTCTAGTTCATTCACATTGATGAGCCTTTGTCAAAAGGTGACTTTCCATGGGACGAACTTTAGCGAATGGATAAGATACATTTGCACAATTGCTCGCTACGAGGATAAAGAGTATGTCCTCGATGAGAAGCTCAAGAAAATTAACCCTGAAATCGCTACTCTGTCTGAAATGACCACTTTTGAAACTCACGAGCGTGATGCAACGAAAGTACATTACATCATGATAGCCACTATGAACTCCGAATTCCAAAAGTCCTATGAGGACATGTACCCGTACGAGATGCACCAAGACTTGTTGGAGAGATACCACCAAAACGCGAGACAAGAGCGTTATGAGATTTTCACTAACATGATTTCCGCTAAGATGGGTCATGGAGAGTCTCTTACTGTGCACCTGCAAAAGATGCAAAGGTATGTCGACCGTCTTCGCAAGTTGAATGTTGACTTTGGGGAAGACTTGGCAATCGACATGGTGCTTCACTCTTTGCCTCCAAGTTACAATTAATTTAGGATGACCTACCACATGAACAAAGAAGAGGTCACCCTAAGCAAGCTCTAAGGTCTCTTGAGGGTCGCTAAAAGCAACTTCAAGGACAAGTCTGTTGCACCAACTCCCAATCCACCCGCTGCTCCTGTTTTGGCTATTAGACAAGTAAAGGGAAAGAAGAGGAAGGCTTCGTCTAAGAACCATCGCAAGGTTAAGCCCCGAGATGGTGCCTCTTCTAGTGGGACCAAAGTTGATCCTACTAAACCCTGCCCTAACCCAAAGGAGGCAGAGTGCCACCACTGCCACAAGATAGGACACTGGAAGAGAAGCTGCCCAGAGTACCTGCAAGCCATCAAAGAAGGAAAGATCAAGCCGTCTTTCGCAGGTATATACAGATTTAACGATTCGTCTCATGATATTTCTTGGGTTCTTGATACCGGTTATGGTTACCACATTTGTTCTAATGTGCAGGGAATAAGAAGAAATAGAGATGTGGAGTATGGAAGAATAAATCTAATCATGGGGAACAGAAGATCATCGCCTAGGACCAAGATTGGAGTGTATTCTTTAGTGCTTAGGAATGGTTTATCTTTAGATTTGAACAATTGTTTCTATTCGCCAGAATTGGCTAGAAACATCATTTCATTTCATGGTTTGTTTAGACAAGGTTTTAGATTTTCTTTTTATAATGAGAATGGTTCTATTTTGGCTTATCTAAATGGTGTCTTTTATTTTGAAGCAATACCGTGTAATCGAATTTATGAAACTGTTATGATTATAGATAACTTAGGAAATGATGTTTTATGCATGGATTCTTCCAATAGTATGGATAAGGCATCCTTGTGGCATTGTCATCTTGGACATGTCAACAAGAAACGCATAGCCCAACTCCAAAAGGATGGAGTGTTGGAATCATTCGACCTTAGGGAAGATGACACATGCGAGTCTTGCTTACTTGGAAAGATGACCAAGTCACCCTTCGCTGGTACTTGCGAAAGGGGTGAGGGTCTATAGGACCTCATACATACCGATGTGTGTGGACCGTTTAGATCAACCACGAAGGATGGAAACTGCTTCTACGTGACTTTTACCGATGACTATAGTAGATATGGGTATATCAATTAATTCAAGCAAAAGTCAGAAACATTTGAAAAGTTCAAAGAGTTCAAGAATCAAGTGGAGAATCAATTGGGTAGGAAAATCAAGATGCTTCGATCTGATCGAGGAGGAGAGTACCTAAGTTTTGAATTCCACGATTATCTCAAGGAGTGTGGAATAGTTTCACAATTGACGCCACCTAGGACACCGCAGCTGAATGGTGTGGCAAAAAGACGTAATCGAACCTTGTTGGACATGGTTCGCTCTATGATGAGTCGTGCTTCACTATCTATCTCTTTTTAGGGGTATGCCTTAGAGACTGCCGCCCATATCCTTAACCGAGTCCCTACTAAGAAGGTTGCCAAAACACCTCACAAGATGTGGACAGGGAAAGCTCCCTCGCTAGCACATATCAAGGTTTAGGGTTGCGAGGCTTTCGTAAGACAAGATACTCACAACAAGCTCGAACCTTGTAGTAAGCAATGTATTTTCATCGGCTACCCCCAGAAATCCTTTGGATATCTCTTCTATAGACCGAAGGACAATGTTCTCTTTGTTGCGAGGAGAGGAGTTTTCTGAGAGCGAGAACTCATAGGCCAAGGAGACAGTGGGAGGCAAATTGAGCTTGAAGAGATTCTAGAGTCGATAGATGAAGGAACCTCTACCGCTGACACTCAACCCGAGGAGGAAACTCCGGTTGAACCGATTGACGTATCATTACCTCTTAGACGTTCCGAAAGAGTTAGAGTTCAACCCTAGTTGTATGGTTTTCATATTACTACCGAAGGGGACATGTATATTAGTGATAGTACACTAATAAACCTTGATGAACCTAATAGCTATAAGGAAGCCATGGCAGGCCCGAAGTCTGCAAAATGGAAAGAGGCAATGGATAGCGAGATCTAATCCATGTATGATAACCAAGTTTAGAATTTGGTTGATAATGTGCCCGGACGTAAGACCGTTGGGTGCAAATGGATCTTCAAGAAGAAGACCGATGTGGATGGAAAAGTACACACGTATAAGGCGCGATTGGTTGCGAAGGGCTTTACTCAAACTCCCGGAGTTGACTATGATGAGACCTTCTAACCAGTTGCGAAGATAAAGTCTATTAGAGTGATGCTAGCTATTGTCGTATTTCATGATTATGAGATTTGGTAAATGGATGTCAAGACCGCTTTCCTTAACGGGAATTTGGCTGAGGATGTTTACATGGCTCAGCCGGAGGGGTTTGTGGATCTGAAGCATCCGGATAGAGTGTGTAAGCTTGAGAAGTCCATTTATGGACTTAAGCAAGCATCTCGCAGATGGAATCTTTGCTTCGATGAGAAAGTCAAAGAGTTTGGATTTGTACGAAGCGAAGATGAATAGTGTGTATATGTCAAAGTCAGTGGGAGTATAGTAAGCTTCCTCATTCTATATGTCGATGACATATTACTCATAGGAATCGACGTCTCGACTCTGCAGGAAGTTAAGTCCTGGCTCGGGAAGTGCTTCGCTATGAAGGACCTCGGAGAGGCTTCCTATATTTTGAGAATAAGGATAGTAAGAGAAAGAAGTAAGAGACTAATAGGACTTAGTCAGAACACTTACTTAGAGAAGGTACTAAAACGTTTTAGTATGGAAAACTCAAAGAAGGGAGAATTACTGACACAAAGTAATGCCAAGTTGAGTAAGAATCAAAGTCCAGGTACCGAAGCTGAGATAGATGAAATGAGTTGAGTTCCATACGCTTCCGCAGTTGGCTCAATCATGTACGATATGACTTGTACTCGCCCTGATGTAGCCTTTGCTTTGACCAAAAAAAACATAATCAAGTTTCAAAAATTAAAAAATTCAATGCATTCTAAAAGAATAAAAACTATAAATTCTGACATAATGTATTAAAGATTATAAAGTTTGACAGAATATAGTAGAAAATAAAAACTATAAATTCTGACAGAATATAGTAGAGACTATAAAGTCAACCATAAAGCATCACAAATTCATTACCAGTGAAACAAATATACTTTTTGTTAACAATTATTCTCAAACATTCTAACAGAATACATTTATATAAATAAATTCTAATAGAATACATTACAGAATTCAAAGCTGTGATTGAATACAGAATTCAAGAGTTGTGATTGAATACAGTTCAACAGTTGTGATTGAATCACAAACACACATCTGCATCCATTCTTAGTCATGAATTCAAGAAACAAACACACATTTGCAATATCGATTTAGAAATATGAACACCAATTTTGACTTTTTTGAAACAAACTCCAACTTATGACTTTGAAGTGCAAGTTGTATCAGAATATTTCTTCAATCGAACATAAATAGAACATTGAAGAAATCGAATTTAATAAGATGATGAACACAATCTCGATCTTGAATCAAAATCAAGATAAAGTTTGGACGACTTGATAAAATTAATTTGATTTTGTCGATCATAGATGTCGAAAGAAACTTACCAAATCAATTTTATCGATCATAGATATCATTAAATCTTCCTGGGGTTACGTCTAATGAGATTATTAGGATCGATTAGGATTCATACGTTTCTTGATGGACTTATACATTCGACCAGGAGAAGTCTCAACTAACTTGGGTTATTAAGTATCGATCGCCAGGAGGGAAGAAAAGGGGTGCGTGCGTTTCTCTTCTTCATCTCATGTGTACGCATCAGAAAAAAAAAGCGATCGACTCCTTCTATCTGTGGTGTGCGTCGACTAGAAGAAGAAAGAAGAAATCGAGGTCTTGATCGGTTGTGTTGTGGGGTGTCGATCACCATAGGTGTGGCTCCGATTCTTTGTTCCAAACTTACTGAATCGGGCATTCATCTTGATAATTCCTTGATTATAAGACACGATGCAAGAGAGAGAGACCATGTCAAAAATATTGATTTTATTTCCTTAATTGCAGGATTTCAATTAAATGATTCATTAATTAAAATGTACAAAATGTCCAAAATACCCTTAAATGATTTATTTAATTGTTTATTATTTTTTGAATTCTCATTGATGCATTTAGAAACACAATAGTTGCTAAAAACATATGAAGCTATGCGGATATTTATAATACCAAATAAATATAAAAAAGGAAAAAGAAAATGGTAGAAACTATAAACTATAATAATTATATAAATTGAACAAAATTGAATACTTTAAATGATAAAAAGAAAAAAAAAACAATTAACTAAAAAAACATATATTATACTAATTTTTATCGAAAATTAGCGTCGATAAAATAGTTCTTTACGAAATTCATATGCCTGGCACCCCCATTCATTCATATTCAATATTTCAATTCAATTCAATGGCTAAAATTTGCGGCAGCAATCCAACAACAAAATTGGCGGTCCTATGTGGCTTGTCATCGTTGCCATCTCTTTCACCCTTATTCACTGTGCCCTAAATCTAATACTCCTATAAAACTTCCTCCCCGTCTTTCTAAGACCTTTTCTCTGAAATCTCCGCTTCATTTTCTTATTTCCAAACACCCTTTTCGTAAACCCATCGCAATCTGATAAAGTATAAACCTTTGTGTGTCTGTTTTATTTTTCGTTTGTTTTCTCTCCCCAGTTATACTTGTTGTTGAAGTTTTGTGGCAGATACTAACGAGACCCACATTGGGGGAAATTGTTAGAGAGATGTTGATGATTCTGGGTCCTGTTGGGATTGCCTTCTTTCTTGGGGTTATGATTGGTTGGGCGTGGAAACCCAGATAGGCTAACTTAGGCAATTGCGAAATCGATTCTTTAGTATCTTCATCTCCTTATCTGAGTTTAATGCCCTAAACTCTTAAGAATCAAGACTTCGGGTCAAAGTCAAACCAGAGCCTTCAGCATCCATCGTCAGTTAACATGGATAGAAATGTTGTTGAAGGACCCACCACATTCCTTTTGAGTAGGAATCCCAATTGCAGGTAATTGTTGAATTATGTCTGGATTTGTTGTCGTTTCTTTGTCAATCTAAAACCATAGATTCACCGTTGTTAGCTTTCTGTACTATAGAAACTGTAATACGCATCTTTTGACCTTCCTGTCGTTCATCGATTGTCATAAAAGACGAGAACCATCTTCTTCTTACCAACGAAGATTTAAAACATCTATGGAATCTCATGGAAAAGAACGAAGGCGGTCCACAATGGAAGCATATGATGAATCGCTCAACCCCTAGCATGCACTATCAAAGCCTGGCAAAGAGATCCCGAGGTACTTTCTTCTTTCTTCTTGATTCAACGATTCATCCACCTTCACATTTTCAATCTCCAAACAATTGAGTTGTCTTTCTAATTTGTGGGCGTTGTAGACCGGCCCTACTCAATATTGCAGTAAGACTGTGTATGAAAACGTGACACCTGAGTTGATGAGGGATTTCTTCTGGGACGATGACTTTCGGCTCAAGTGGGATGATATGCTTTCACATGCTGCAATCCTGGAAGAATCCCCTAATTCTAGAACAAGCGTAGTACATTGGATACGTAAGGTAAGTCAAGTCCTCTAATTTACATCATCTTCTGTCTCCTGTATATTTATTTCCTAATTCTTTCACATGCATATGGCTATTTGCACAGTTCCCTTTTTTCTGTAGTGATAGAGAATACACAATTGGTCGCCGAATATGGGAGCTTGAAAGATCTTACTACTGCGTTACAAAGGTACGTATAACAAAATAAACATATACTACTATAATTCAACAGTTTCTTTGTTTATTTTGACCTAACTTTTTTGTTCCAGGAAGTACCCATCTCTTGGGTCCCAAGGAAGCAGAAACCAAGGCGCGTTGATCTATATTATTCAAGTTGGTTTATTCAATCAGGTAATCATATGCATATAGCAAAAGTGGCTGATTTGTTTTTGTACCAATTATTGTCTGACATGGATATGTTTAACAGTTGAATCAAAGTGTAAGGTGACATTCTTCCACCATGAAGATATGGGGATCCCTTGGGAATTTGAAAATTTTGGAGTGAGGCAAGGGATGTGGGGAGCAGCTAGGAAAGTTGAACGAGGGTTTCGATTATATCAAGAGGAAAGAGCCTTTTTAAAAACAATATCGCTCCATGTCGTTATGGCTCAGAGGAGTACCAAAATTGATGAAAAGTACTTGGCTTCTTTAGAATCTGAGGAGGAAGAGGAAGAAGAAGAGGAAGTAGCAGATATGGCAGAAACCACCACTAAAGTGGTGGGGATGAAGGTGCCAAAGCTCTTACTATTTGGTGGGGTGGTTATGGTGGTATGTAGTTTGGATCGTGGTCTGTTTAGTAAAGCTGTAATATTTGGTGTTGCCAAGAGGTTTGGGTCCATAGGGAGGCAAGCGGGACCCCAACCCCAAAGATGACACCGTGGCATTCTCCTGATTCAGTCTCTTTTTGTAAATCTGTTACTTAGAAATTACTAGAGTATAAAGCACCAGTTTCTTTCAATATCTCAGGGCATACCATGATCCAACTCTTCACCTATGTTGATTATCGCAGTAGTAGATCTAAATGGATATACTTGGTCAAGAACAAGTCAAATTTTATAATATGGTGTGCAAATAGTTCGACAGACGAATGAAAATGCTCTTTTCGGATTACGCCAAAGATCTTGTTTGTAAAAATGTCTTCAATGAACGAGGAATTGTCCATAGAAATCGTGTGCTTTGTTGGAGATAGGTGAGATTTTTAGGGTGTAAGTGATAATCAATAGGGTGCTTATTGTTAGAAATTCGAAATACTCTTGGAATACATATGATGGGAAATGAGATCGATTTTAGCTTGGAGATTGTGTATGTTCATTTTCCTTAAAATGTATTCGACACTATGCACGAGTTTCCCAGAATCTGTCACATAATAGTATAAGAGAGGCCAACTTCGAGTTTTAGGCACAAATCACAATCAAAGAACAATATTGGATTCGTGTAAATGGTCCCTCGGATCTTAAATACAAAATGTATATTACATATTTACATATATCAATAATTACCCACAATGGACAAGGACGATGAATTCATAGTAGTACTATAATGGTTCTAGACGATTAATGTGAGTTCCAGTTAACCCCCATCAGCTAGCATTGTCAATTTATTTCATTCAGTTAAGTTTGTTAGTGACAAGGGTATTTCTGTAATTTAATGTACAGGTAGTTAGCTTAGCTCATAAGTTGTATATATTAGTTCTTTTGTAAAGTTGTAAAGCTTAATCAATGGAAGATTTCTTGAATTCTCTCAATATTGCGTTCATTTTCATACAAGTTAACATGGTATCAGATTGAATTGATCCTTATCTTCCGCAATTTCACATTCAATTTCACTTTCAATCTTCTTCTTCATCTTCAATTTTTTCAATTCGTCATGTCTGATTCGGAAATAAATTCCAACAATTCAACTCTCAATTCTCCATCGAATCCCTATTATCTTGGATCGTCTGATAATCCAAGCTCTGTTCTTGTTACCAATGTCTTCAATGGTGTTGGATTCAACGCCTGGAAACGTGCAATGATCATTGCACTGTCTGCCAAAAATAAATTGGGTTTTGTAGATGGTTCGATCACTCAACCTGCTCTTAATTCCTCTGAATATCCTGGATGGTATCGAGTTAATTCCATGGTGATAAGCTGGTTATTGAATTCTCTCCATAAAAATATTGCCGATAGTGTGCTTTTTCTTCAATCTGCATCACAAATCTGGACTGAATTGAATCAACGCTATGAACAATCAAGTGGTGCATTGATTTACCAGATTCAGCAGAAACTTTACTCTATTTCACAAGGTTCAGATGATTTTTCTACTTACTACACTAAACTCATGAAGATCTGGGATGAGTTACGAGTTGTTCAGGATTTACCTGCTTGTTCTTGTACTGCTGCAACTGCTATCAACAAGTTTCTTGATGATCAGAAACTAATTCAACTTTTCATGGGCCTCAATGATTCCTATAAAATCATTCGTGGTCAGATTCTCACGATGAAACCCTTACCTTCTCTCTCCACTGCTTATGCTCTTATTATTCAAGAAGAACAACAGAGGGAAGTTAATTTTGTCCTAGTTTTCAACAATGATGCTATTGCCATGAATGTTTCTCATAATCAGTCTTTTTCTTTATCAAAGAAATCTCTTACATGCACACATTGCAAGAAATCAGGTCACACGAAGTCTCAATGTTACAGGCTTGTTGGTTTTCCTTCTACTTTCAAGTTCACTAAAGGAAAGAAAGATGAGTCACAATCTGTTGTGCAGAACGTTCAAAGTGTTTCTACACCACCAGCTATGAATTTTTCACCTGAACAATATCAAAAACTTCTTCAACTCTTGAATAATAGCAACATCAACAATACTTCTTTTTCTCCTAAAGTGAACTCTGCTATTTCAAAAGGAGCATTGCATCCTGATGGTACAATTTTTTCTTTTAAACATTTTTGTGCAAATGTTTACAAATCTTCTCATCTTCTTCATAAACATAATTCTTGGATCATAGATTCAGGTGCTACTGATCACATTTGTTCTAATCAAAGTTTTTTTTGTTTCTCTTTCTAAACTCATTCAGCCTCATTCTCTTGGTCTTCCTAATGGAATTGACACATTTGTCAATTATATTGGCGATGTTCAGATTCATGATTCAATTGTTCTTCGTGGGGTACTTTATGTCCCAGAATTTAAATACAACCTTCTTTCTATTCCCAAACTCACTTCTCAACTTCATACTTTTGCAATTTTCACTGATGAAAATTGTTTTCTGCAGGACCCTTCCATGAAGAATAATTTTGCTTTTGGACTTCTTGGTCAAAGAATCAATGATTTGTATGTCTTTGATCATCATCAAATCAAGACCACATTAGCATATGATTACTTAGTTTTTCCTTCTTCATTGTCTTGTCAAACTTCTGTATTCAGTCTTACTTCTAATAATCAAACATTGTTATGGCATAATAGACTTGGTCATATTTCTGTTGCAAAACTCGGAGATTTATCTCTGGTTTCTTCTAGATCTACTGATTTGAATCTTGAATCTTGTGTTGTTTGTTCCAAAGCTAAACAACGAAAATTGCCATTTCCTGTTAGTGAGTCCATGTCTAAGGCATCTTTTGATTTGACTCATGTGGATGTTTGGGGTCCATATAAACACATGACTCATGATGGTTTTAAATATTTCATAACCATTGTTGATGATCATAGTCGACATACTTGGATTCATTTACTCTCTCATAAGCATTATGCTTTCACTCTTCTTAAAGCTTTTGTTAAAATGGTTAAAACTCAGTTTAACACTATGGTCAAAGTTATAATAACTGATAATGCTTTGGAGTTAGGGTCAAGTACAGAAGGTGTTAATTTTTTCCAAGACAATGGTATTTTGCATCAAAAGTCCACTCCATATAATCCTCAACAAAATAGGATTGTTGAAAGGAAACATCAACATATTTTGGGTACTGCAAGGGCTCTTTATTTTCAATCAAGAGTTGGCATTGCTTATTGGGGAGAGTGTGTTAAAACAGCTGTTCATTTGATTAACAAGATGCCATCAAAGATCTTAAAAGACAAAAGTCCTTTTCAAGTATTACATAACGAACAACCATCTTTAGAAAGATTAAAAAGCTTTGGTTCTTTGTGTTATGTTTCTTCTTTGACTCAAGGCAGAGATAAGTTCATGCCACGTGCTAATCCTTGTATTTTTATTGGATATCCATCTGGTCAAAAACCCTATAAAGTCTTGGACTTAATCACCAAATCCATTTCTGTATCACGGGACATCAAATTTTTTGAAACCAATTTTCCCTTACACTCTCATTCTAACAATTTTTTTCAAACTCCAAATGATTGTTATCTTCCCAAATCGGTTTCTGATCCTAATTCTGCCAATTCCAATTATTCCCCTGATACAGATTTTGTCCCCATTTCACCTGAGGTTGTTTCAAATCATTCATCTCCTACTCATCATTTGCATGAACATGATTCTTCTTCACCTACACCTTTATTAAGAAGATCTACACATGTTTCTCAACCTCCAATTCATTTACAAGATTATATTTGCAATAGTGTTGTTTCTACTAGTTCATCTTTATGTTCTCACACACTTACAAATATGTGTATTGGTTTGGATTCATCCTCTACTAAAAGTTTCTCAATGAATGTTACAAGCAATATTGATCATGTTCACACTCATGAAGTTGAACCTGCATTTTATCATGAGGCTAAAGGCAAGCCACAATGGGAAGCAGCTATGAAAAAAGAACTTGATGCATTGGCTGCTAATAATACTTGGGATGTGGTTAAGTTACCAAGAGGTAAGAAACCAATAGCTTGTCGATGGGTATTCAAAATTAAATATCGTGCAGATGGTAGCATTGAAAGATATAAAGCACGGTTAGTAGCTAAAGGATTTACTCAAAAAGAGGGGGTGGATTATCACGAAACTTTTTCACCAGTTATAAAATTCACAACAGTTAGATGTATTGTATCATTAGCAGTTAAAAGAGGATGGAATATTCATTAGTTTGATGTAAACAATGCTTTTTTGCATGGTGAATTACATGAAGAAGTTTATATGAAGTTACCTCCTGGATTTTCTCTTGATTCTGATTCTTCAAAAGTTTGCAAATTAAAAAAATCCTTATATGGGTTAAAACAGGCATCAAGGCAGTGGTATGATAAGCTTTCTTCTGCATTAATTTTGAAAGGCTACACAAAATCACTCAATGATTATCCTTTATTTCTCAAAAATACCACTACTACAATTGTTGTTGTAGCCATATATGTTGATGACATATTAGTTACAGGAGATGATAATGAGGAGATCATATCTCTTAAAGATTCACTTCATCAACAATTTCAAATCAAAGATTTGGGTCATATCCATTATTTTTTGGGTTTGGAATTCAACAAAATTGATCAAGGAATGATTGTTCATCAGCAAAAGTATGTCAAAGAACTTTTGTCTTCATATTCCATGGAACATCAACCTGTTTCAAACACTCCTCTACCACCAAAAACACATTTATTGCCTGTTATGGATGATCTTTTACCAGACCCAACAATGTATCGACAGCTTATTGGAAAATTAAATTTTTTGTTACACACCAGGCCTGATCTTTCTGATTCGATTCAATACTTGAGTCAGTTTAATCAAACACCTTGTAAAGCCCATTATGAAGCTGCACTTCATGTCTTAAAGTATCTCAAAGGGTCTTCTTCACAAGGTTTATTCTTTAATAAGAATACAAATTTTAAAGTTGAAGCATTTTGTGATTCTGATTGGGCTTCTTGTCCAATAACTAGAAGAAGTGTGAGTGGCTTTTTCATATTATTTGGTGATTCTCCAATATCCTGGAAATCTAAGAAGCAAGTCACTATTTTGTTGTCCTCTGCTGAGGCAGAATACAAGTCAATGAGACGAATTTGTGCAGAATTGGCCTGGCTTAGTCGATTACTTCATGAGATACAAGTTGACAATATTACCCCTATACCATTAAAGTGTGATAATCAAGCTGCTATATACATTGCCACTAATCTTGTATATCAAGAGCGTACAAAGCATATAGAATTGGATTGTCACTTTGTAAGGGAAAAGTTACAAGCTGGTCTAATATCTTTGTCTCATGTGAAAACTCAAGATCAGTTGGCTGATGTTTTTACTAAACCGTTGTATGGTCCACAACATCAATTAGTTGTATCCAAGCTTGGGCTTCTTCCGTATCCACCAGCTTGAGGGGGGGGGGGGGGGGGGGGTGTCAATTTATTTTATTCAGGGTTTGTTAGTGACAAGGGTATTTCTATAATTTAATGTACAGGTAGTTAGCTTAGTTCATAAGTTGTATATATTAGTTCTTTTGTAAAGTTGTAAAGCTTAATCAATGGAAGATTTCTTGAATTCTCTCAATATTGCGTTCATTTTCACACAAGTTAACAAGCACCACATGCTCAACTCCAACCGTAAAATTGACCCAATGTTTTGAATAGGTCGGTTTAAAGTTTGATTGCTAGTTTCGGATAGTTAGCCGCTGACCTTGCTCAGTTCCAACCAATTAGCATAAGTTGATGATTGGTTTCAAGATGAGAGATGACTGGCCTAACTTGGCCTTATGGCCTTGTCTATTTTCTACTTTCGTTCGGGCTTTTCCACTACAATTGTGGTCTAAAAATTTGTTTAGATGTTTTACACTTTAACCTTTTCCTATTTTGGGACCACCGAAAAGGTGTTCTGTCACTTAACCCTCTAAGGTTGGTGGATGTCGGTGTGGTAGCCCATGCGGTTTGCCACCTCAGTTACCTCACACACTTGTCAAGTGTATGCTTCGAGTTGTGCTCATAGAAACTAGCCACAATCTCTCTCTCTCTCTCTCTCTCTCTCTCTCTCTCTCACACACACACACACACACATTACCCCCTGTTACTGGTTTTTTTTTTTCTTTTTTCCCAAATTTCAACTTTTTTACCTATAAATAAAACATTTCACATTCAAACTTGTCAGGCCTCAATACACTTCTTCTATATCTTTATATTTTATCTCTCAAGAATTCAAAAAAAATATTTTCTTCCAACAACCAAAAAACACCCACACGAAACACCCAAACTCCTTTTTCTAATCAACCAATTTATTCGTCCCCCGTTTACCACTATGTAGATATGCTACCGTATTATCCGCAACCATATCGACAACAATACCCACAACCACAACCACAAGTCCAATCCGACACCAAATTTAATCCCTTCGATTTTGTGTCTCAAACTCGAATATGAGAAACTCAAATCCAATCCGATTCTGAGCCCCGAATTCATTCGAGAAACTCAACCCACCCAAGCACCTAATAAAAGAAAAGAGAAGGCGGTACCCAAACCATGGAAACCCATAGAAGTGATCGCATTGGCACATGCATCTGTTGATGTCTCCGTGGATCCGAAAATTAACAAAGACCAAAAACATGACATTTTTCTAGACAAGCTAATAAAAGGTTTCACAAATGAACGAAGAATAATAAATTTTTTATCATTGAAAAAACAATCACCCACCTTTGGCGGCCGAATTCATTTTGAGGGATTAAAAAAAAAAACAACAATTTGTTTTTGATATGTCATATGTGGCGAAATGTGGCGATACCTTGGAACTTGGAAGGTGGAAGATTTCATATTCTTTAACCAGCTCAACACTACACTCTGGAATACTTTAGATGCTTCTCTCATACGGAAGCAACACACACAACACGTTGTTTCACCTGTTCCTTTCTTCTCGATTGTTCCACATCTTCCTCCTTCCCTAATCCCTAATTCCCTACCCCTATTTCGTATTTATACCCATCGTCTCTTCTCCCTCAACCAACTTCATCCAACTAAATCATCATCATTAACAAATAACAATCATCATGCTTATGTCAATTTTCAGTTCAATCGACGCCTTCTGCGCTGAATCCATGGGACAAAAGCTTCCGGTCACCAACACTCAAAAAGATTCCAAGGATGGCCGTCATAATCATAATCCGTCGACGCCATCGCCGGACATCAAGAATTCACCAAAACTGCAGATCAGGCCCCGGTTCGCCCCGGAGTTGGATGGCGTCAACTGTTTCGAAACAATACTTCCGTATTAATTAATTAATTGCATATGAATATCGTATATATGTACTTGTAATTCATTCTAATATGTGCATACGTATGCTGATGCTATTCTTTGCTTTAATTTTAACCTTGTTCGTGATTTAATTCACCTCTGTTTTCCTTTGTTTATTTTTCAAGTGAATCTAGCAGCTGTTAAATCCAAATTATAAGTATGAAAGCACTCGATAGTCAATAGACCACCACCACATATATTTCATATGTTTTCATTCATGTACCCAATCCACTCTACGTACGCAGCTGCTACTTTTAGCCGTTTAATATGAATGTATAACTGTATAAGTGAGAAAACCATAAAACGAGGCAAGAAGCGTTGGAAATATATGAATATCTTACTATATATACATATAACCTATGTCACCAAGGTAATAAGATCTTCGAAGTACCCAATATATATGCGATGGGCAATTGTGTATTCTCCTTTACGGGAACTATGGATGCATGTGAAAAAAGGAATTAGAACACCAAATAAAGCTGGGACGGATTTTACTTTGTGTTTGTGTCATGTTAATGTCTAGTACGAAGAACACCATGTAGTGTGTAGTGTTCATATTCAAAATTTAGCATAATATTAAATATTGGTTATTTTCAGGGTTTCAAAAATTGACATAATATTAAATATCGGATGTTTTCATGTTTTAGTAAAACAAAACACATACTAAGTGTGTTTGAATCAGTGTCGTTTATTGTGGAACTAGACGAATACTCGCGCTATATAGAAACCAAGTGTATATTTTAAATATTTACAAATTTATTTTTTTAAAATATAACAATAGTTTTGTTTTTAACTTTGATAATTCTTATAATCGATATAAAATATTGATTATGTTAATCTATTAAAACCATATAATATCAATCAATCTCAATTGATTCTATATGCAGGTTACACGTTAATAGAACTAAATATTATATATAATTTAATATTATTTATAGTTATTATAATTATTTAATTAAAAACAATATTTTCTTAACATTTTAATTTCGATCATTTTAATTACTTAAATCTTCAAATGTTGTTTTTGTTTTTAAACATAACAATATAATTTTTAATATAATATTATTTTTAACTATTGTTGTAAGTTAATTTAAACTACTTATTTAGAAAGTCTTAATAATTATAAAAATAGTTTTAGAAATTTTTTTAGTTAATTTGAAATTACAATCTATGTTTTCCATTTAATACTACAACTTATAAATTTTAACTATTTATAAAATAATCTTTGGATTTTCTTTTATGTTTAATTGAATTTCAATTTAAGCTAACCCTTTTACATTTAATTTAACAATTTAAATATTGTATACAAACATTCAAAGTTGTGTGAAAAATAAAATGATTCAAATACAATAACATACTCAAACTAATAAGTTTGTTTATCATAATACGTTAAAAGTTAAAAACATAATTTTATAAGTAGATGTAAAAAATATTATTTTAATATTAAAGTTTACTTAATTTAATATTAAAATTTAAGTTTTTCACTTATTTAATATTATTAACTAATTTATAATCATTATTAGAAAGAAAATATAAAATCATGTGAGTTTTAAATATATGCAATGAAATTAAAAATACATCTTTTATAGTATAATATTATTAACCAGTTTATAATGATTATTAGAAAAAAAAAAATTCATAAGAGTTTCAAATGCATATAGTGAAATTAAAAATATATCTTTTATAGTATAGATACAAATTATATCGGATAAAAACATGGGATTATCTTATTTGATACCCAATGTTTTGTTCTGAGTTTTAAAAATAAGAAAAAGATATAGAAGGGAAGGGAATCAAAAAAAAGATATAGAAGGGAAGGGAAGGGATTATCTTATAGTATAGATCACTTTGAGGGAAATATGAAATTTATCCTTTCCAATCCTTCTAATTTAAATGTCATACTTTGAAAGTTCTACACCATTATAGCAAATACCATTTAAATACAAAACAATTTATCCTGAATAAAAAAAATAGAAATACATTGCTATTATAATATTCTGTTTTCATTTTTTTAATTACAACATTGTATTTTTTTTTTTTTAAATCTACTAACATATTGCGAAGTCTTTCAAATACAGTGCAGTTTTCACCATTATAATAACACCGAAAAAAAAAAATCAACTACAATGTTGTAATTTGGAAAAAAAAAAATCAGAGTATATTATTTTATTAAGAAAAACTGAAAGCAAATAGACATAATTGGATATATGATGCTATAATACACATATATGAAACTACATTCCTATATTTTGCATTTATCCAATCTTATGTTTAAAATCTCTATTTTGATGGAATGTTTTTCCCAAATGTATTTTGCCAAAATAGTTGCAAATAGAACCATGAATACTGAGCACTAATTCTATTCATCGTCAAAAGCCAGAACTCATACAACAGTATGTTTACCAGATATTCAACCAATGGTAATATCCAAAATATACAAAGATAATAATATAAAATAAACAAAATTAAATAAATCCTATAAATAAGTTGATGAAAAGTTATATAGCATTGTGGATGCTCTCAAGTGCCACCTGGCCTATCTTCCCCTAGTCGGAACAGCAGTACTAATTGGGATCTTCTCCTCTTTAAATGGTTGAGTTGAGGCATCAGCAAGACTAGGTAATCTTGTAACACTTCCCTTCCCTCTTCTTGCATTCGGCCCTAATTCTTCAATCATGTACTTCCATCCATCAATCGGTCTCCTTCTACTGAATATGTGTTGTTTTATAAAGCTAGCGATCTGCATACTCCCCACAACAACACAATAAAATAAAATAAAAACTCGCCATTATTTAGCCAAATTAATAAACCAAACGAGGGGGAAACCTGGAATTTGCTGAAGGCAATTCGACGTTCATACTCTTGAAGAAGAATGTCTTCTTCTCTTTGGGTCATTTCCCAGATGTTCCCATCTTGTGCCTTTGATGTTGTTTCCCATCCATCTGGCTTGTTCTTCAAATCGGAGGAATCTGTAGGTTTTGAGTCGAAAATCCTGCAAAAACATGATGTATGTTTTTTATTCTATGGCTTCATACGGATTATGAGTCTTAATTTGGACATGGATTGTTGACAAATTCTGATTCTAAAACAAGCAATAATCACAAGAATCAAAACCCTAGCACCTGTAATTAAATTCAATCTAGAGAAAGAGAGAGGAAGAGAGTGTACTCAGAGGCGCTGTCAAGGAATCTATCGAGATCATCACCAGCGCCACCACCGGAATCACCCAATTTGGCCTCTTCCATCTTCTCAATCTCTTTAACCCATAACCCAGCATGAACCCTTTGTTTCATAACCCTATAATCCATTTTCACATTCTCCAAACTATACAATGATTTCCCTTCTTCTTTCATCTTCAGCAGCCTTTCTTCTTCTTCCTGTCGCTTGCTCTTACCCCCGGCCTTTTTCCTCCTTTGTTCCCAATTATCACTCATGTCTTCAACGAACGCCTTCGTATCTGGATCGAGAGCCTCTGGTGTATCGGCAATAGAGAAATTGACATCTGCTTCCCATGGTGCTCGGTTTTTCGCGGATAAATCTTCAGGGAGCCACGCTGTTTCCCAAGCATCGTTCCATTCTTCTCGGCCATCGGATGCCTTGGTTGATAGCCGTCTGAGATAGGTTGTGACGGTGGTAGAGCATCGCCGGTTGATTAGAGACGAAAAGCTGCCAAATTTCTTCATTTTGTTTGTGTAAGTGGAAAGGTTACGCCGTTAAAAAAGAAAGAACTAAATTTTAATGGAGTATTCTGTGCTTGATTTTATTGGGCCCTAATTGGGCTTGATCTTATTACTTTTTAATTTGGGCTGATTAGAAGTTCCGCCGACATCACATGCGATGATTTACTTGCATTGACATCTTGTGAAACGATAAAAACAATTTATAAAATTTGATGAGAAATTTACAGCCGAATAAATTAAATTAAACGAGAGCAATTAGATTAGAGACAAGTAAACTAATGTAAAATGTCACCAACTGTAGCCTCTTATTTATAGCCAAAAACTAGAAAAATTAAGGTTCCATATATACATACACACTCTGAGAAGTAAACTACATGACATACTATGATATACTGATATACTACATTCACTGGATTTCCACATCAATCACCTTTCGCTCAACCGTCTTCTTCGGAATGGAGATCAAGAGAACACCATTTTTCAAATCAGCTTTGATCTTCTCTTTCTCACAGTTATCCGGCAGATCAATGCGTGTCTGATAGGAGCTGTAATTCTGTCTAATCCAGGAACTCTTGTCGCCTCCTTCATTCTGATCATCCTGCTTATGTTCTCCCTTGATAACAAGCATGTCGTCCTCCACATATACCTTCAGATCTTCCTTGGAGAGTCCCGGAACGTCAAATCTCATCTTGATTTCATTCTCTGCATCCTGTATGTCCCATGGAGAACGAATGTTCCAGGCCGTACCAGTCCGCGTTGGGAACGCCATCGAGTCTTCAAATATCCTGTCCATCGTGTCCAACATTTGCCGCATTGTTCTCATCGGAGATAACGGATCCAACAACCCTGCAACACCATAATAAGATCGTTTTAATTTACGTTTGGAAAAAGCAGGAATGTTTAGATTTGGATGATTGCGTTTTGACCATTGACTTACCAAAAGGGGATATGGTGGTGGATGAGGGGCGGCGTTCTACGGAACCATTAGCAGAAGCTTTGCCTTGGTTGCTACTGACTTGAACATCGACGGAGGTATCTTTTTCTGCCTGAGCTCTGACGACGGGGAGTCTGCTGCGGGTTCGTGAAGGCGGAAAGAAGGCACAGCAAGGAGGTCTGGCCGATTTGGTTGAAGGCTTGGAGATGTTGTTTGAGAGTAGAGGGGAAGAAGAGATCCCGCTTGTTGTGCAAGCCATTAGTTATTGCCTTATTGGTGATATTGTTGAATGATGATGATTCTTTATCTGTGGTTTGATGATCGAAGCATGAGGTTGAAGGTGTTTATATATGCACAGGCAGAAGGTTATGGCGAATTCGTGAAAGACCTGGTGGAGGATAGGAAATTCCCGGGGGTTCTAGAAATTGGTGTCTTGTGTCACCTTTAAATTTATTTATGACAAAATTACAAGGTCGCTTTATTTTTATTTTATTAGATTCTTACTTTTTGTCCATTTATGTAACTAGGACTTAATCTATTTATAACTACTCTTTATATTTTTTCTATTACCTTTTTAACACTCTACAATTGGTAAAATTTCAATAATTCATTATATTGCACACAACTTTTTTTTATTAGGATACGATAGAAAATAAGGCTCACTAAATCTAATTTGAAATAATCCAACAAAATGTAATATTAGTTCGAAGCAAAATCCGAAGAGAAAAAACGCATAATATCTAGCTTTTTATTTGATGATCTTTGAAACAATTCTTGCAGGAAATTAACAAACAAATATATCCATTGAATATAGAAATTATTTCGGGATAAGGTGTTGACCCGTCTTGACCGCGCCCGTTACCCATTGGAACCCACTAGAGCCGTTGCCCTGACCCTGTGTTCCGAGATCATGTAAACTTATCTATGTGTGCACTTTACACCTCCAAGCTCGTTTCATAGCTAAAATGAAACTAAAATTTTCTTGAGTTGATCCTGATTATACTAGTTGCCTTGATGAAACTAAAATAACCAATATCTTTCCGTTATCCAAAAATCACAAAATTTGAAAACTTCTTGACAGGTTGTAAAACTCAGACGGATGTTTTACACTTTTAGCTAAGTTATCCAAAAATCACAAATTTTGAAAACTTCTTGACAAGTTGTAAAACTCGGATGGATGTTTTACACTTTTAGCTAATTTATCCATGGTAAGCTCTTTTTCTCCCCACTCAAATTGGCTTATCACATTCCATCTTGAGTTTGATCAGGGTGTTGGATTTTCTTTTGTGCCATCTCCATCACTTTTTTGTGCTTATCACATTCCCTCTTGAGTTTGAGGAGGGTGTAAAGTGTTTATGTAGGATTATGATTTTCTTTTGTGTGTTTATCTTTATCTCTTAGAGCCTATATATTCAACTTGTAATCTAAACCTTTAATGCAACTTGAGAATATACATTAGGAATGCGACAACAGTTTTGAAACCACGATCTATGCTAGCTACTAGTATTTACTTCAAAACCAAGGTTTCTTTAAAAATACACTGAGTAACTAAGCAATATATTCAAACCTCATTTCACCAATCAAGTAGCAAAACTGTATAAGATAAATTCAAACCAAATTCTTTATGAAACTTTTGTTACACACAATCACTATATATTGACGATTCATACAAATAATTGCTACAAGAACAGGATCTCAAATTTCCTACTTTTATAGCTTTAGACCTGTTGACTACCATCTTCAAGCCTTTACAAGTTACAACCAACCTCATAACTCAAACTCATCTTCAAGCTTCAAAGCCTCAACAGCAGCTTCTTCCTCTTCATCATCAATGGCAAAGTAAGGGTTGTGCGTCTTGGGTCTAAAGTTGTATCCAGTAAACACATAGAAAGCAAGTGTAGCCAATTCGGCTAAGAACACACTTGTCCAAGCATACCGATACGAAGTAATCATCTCCAAAAAATAAACCGCCACCCTTGTGAAGTAAATGTAGCATATGACAACAACATAGTACTGCCTAAACAATGTTAATTTCATCAAATTCACAGCCGCCTTTCCATCAGTCATGGCTGCCTCTCGCAGATTCTTGATGGACCAAATAATCGGGAACAAAACAGCACAACAACAGATTATGTCTACTAACAAGAAGATTTGTCTCCATGTCGATAAATCCTGTCCGAATGGACCCGTTTCATCTATCACCACTTGAGCCAAATTGGAGACGACTTGCAAGGGGATGACGATCATCAACACATTCTTTTCTTTGTCTTGTAGGTAAGGTTTCAAGAAAGACCAACCAGTGCCGATGAGAACAATCAGAGTGAAGAGTGTGATGCCCTTTAAGAAACTAAAGATGTAGAACAGAACATCCCAACCATGAGGTGTGCCTGATCTTTTAATGTAGGATTTATCCTCGGTTTCGCATAAGAGATTTAGGGCTTTTAAAAGCAACACGGCTAACATAAAGTAATGGATTCGATAAGCCGATGACTTCCTGTGGTGCAGCGTGTAGATCCATATACCGGAAAGAGACGCATAAATCAAGAAAAACAAGAAATAGATTGAAGGGAGATTTGATTTACCGGCGGATAAGTAATCGCGGCGGTTGTTTTGGGGGTTTAAATTGTACATGACGGAGAGGACGTTCACGGAAACTTTGATGCCGCCGGCGCAATTGGCAAAAACGAGTGTGAATTGATTGGTATCGGTGACGTTGAAAACGGCATCGTACGAAGGCGTTGTGGTGGTGGGTTTGAGGTGGTTGAAGGTAAAGACGGGTTTGACGGCGGGGGAATCGAGAGGGCAACGGATTTTCTCCGATTGGAGTTGTTCGACAACATGGATCCATGAATCACGAGTACACAAGAAGAATCCAATTCTGGAAAGATCAGGTTCTGGAGGAGTGAATGAAATTTGAGACAAGTTGAGGTGGAGACGGCCGAAGTGAGTGAATCCGAATTCGTCTATCGGAATGTTGATGTTTGAATCGGATCGAATCTCGGTGAACCGGATTTCGGCGGAGGTGAGAACGAAGAGAAGAAAGACGGCGGCGATGACGACGAGTGAAGATACAGACACCCGGAGAGAACCCATTTCTTGTTATCGAAGGCAACGTGAATGGTTGTTGACGACTTGACGTTGGAATATATGAGAGACTCAGGCGATCGACGGCATGAGCACGGCCATTGACTTCTGAAGTCAAGATTGTAGAATGGACGGCCTGGACACGGCGATGACAAGAAATAACATCACAACAAACATTGGAAACGACGACGTTGCAACCCCATGGATTTATGTCTTTAACTTCTATGAACCTTTTGTTAATTTCCGGTTAGTCCGATGAAGAAGTATCCAATCCAAACAAACCAGAATTAAAAATTAATCTTAGGCTAAATTACATTCTTCATTACTGTGGTTGTATTTTGTTACGATCTATGTAATCACTTGGTATCGCTTGGCAGACCATGGGGTGAGGTCTCATACCACCAAGTTACTCGAATCTTATCTTTCTTGTTGGGCTACGACAACACATGTGTGCTTGTTCTCAACATCAATTGTTTCTTAAGGTTTTGGGCCCATTAAGCATTCCACCAATGCACTACAAGTCAATATTGCTACCTCGATCAGGGGAAATAATAGGGCATTTGAGACATTGCTCTTTTATAACTCTTCATTATTTGGATAAAACCGATTTTTTCAGTTGAACAATTTGGTTAGGATATTCGGATTTTTGGATTGGTTTTTAGCAAAACCGAATTATTATTTTGGATTTCGGATTGGTTTTGGTTTATAAAATAAAAACCAAATAGTCCAAAAAACCCGAAGCGCAATTTATTATTTTGTTCTTTTTAATATATATCTTTAATAATTTATAAATTTACTAAATTATTCTTTTAGTATATTAAAAATTTTCATCTATTATAATACTTTAATATGTACTTCTTATAAAAAAAAATTGTCTATAAAATAGTAAATTATAATATATTTTTCTTGATAGTTATTTATAAGTTTTAATTCACAACTAATTAAACAATATTTTTTAGTTTATATTATAAAGTAAGTTAATACTAAAGTTATATATTTGTTGAAATGTCTTTAA